GCTGTCTAAGCCTACTACAAGTTCAGGCTCAGCAATGAGAAGTACAAGTTAGAGCAAGGTACACTCTTTATACAGTATAGGTTAGGGTCTTCCTTACTCCAGTACAAGTCAACCTTAATGTATCCTGTGTCTAACCCTAACTAGTGCTATGTTCATGACAGTTATTGTTGTACATTCATAGTAGGCATCCTTCTATCTCTGTACATCAAATACTGTGCAGTTGTACATGAAATGCTGCTAGCTCACTGACCTGTATGCAATTCCATCTTAATGTTATTCAATTTGCTAATTACTGCAATACAGAGGAGTTGCATAGAATGTTACAGTTTGCGAACAAAGTTCTGAGGTCGCACCATCATCTTGGTGGCCTTCAGTGAGTAGTAGTAACCTTTCCAGTGATACCAGCGAACACCAGGTCCTGTGTCATCACCATGATAGTCCTCTGGCTGGAAGTAGGCAGCATTCAGGGCAGAGCTAGCACAATTGTTATACCACCAGCCACCTGAAAACAACTGAGCACAATTATAAATACTGGATCCATCATTGTCTCTATTCCTTGCACTGAATTTCCTACCGTTATGGTGACCCATAGAGTCTCCAGCATCCCCACTGTACCCCCCAATGTTCAGTGTATAATATGCACTCTCATCCCCAATGCTGAATGTACCATATTTAGCATGAGCAAAGTTCCCTTCCCAATCCTGTAACTCCACATACAACTCATAGCTATTCTGGGATGTCAGGGTGTGAATTTTATCCAGTCCAAGCCAGTGTTCCCCCTCGACCCACCCAAACCCAGTTTTGTAGTCTGCCCAGTTTCTATCGAAGTTGAGTCTCCCATCCACCCTCCTTTGTATGACAGTCCAGCCCCCACCATCTGTAGTCATGTCACAGTAGACGTCGAAGTGGTCGGTGGAAGACTCAGGTTTGATGGGGAAGACTCCGTCCTGCAATGTGCCGGTCCAGTAGAGTACAGCATAGAGATCTGCACAGTCCTCAAAGTTAGCAGCACCGGGGGGAGGGGGGTCGTTCCTCTGGCCATCAACATTCGCAGGGGGGTTTACATCTGTAAAATAAATTCAATGTACATTATACTGATATTTGATCATACCTGTACCTGTTCAGGTACATGTACACAGCTCTACTCTCTAAGTTTTTTCACCCAAGGTATGACCGGTTTATATAGCTTCTAAAATGTTACAGTAATATAACACTAACAGTTATACAGAAACCCCCTGTTTCGAGTATTGAATCATGCTGTCACTCAACAAATACATTCAACACTGCTATTATAGAAACAAAATGTATGTTAAATAACATCGTCCATTGAGATCATCATTAAGATGTTGAGATAATATAAATAAATATAAACAAAAATAAATAAAAAAATGTTTTAATTACAATGTATATAGTACACAGCAGAACTATCTTTAATACCTTGAGCAACTTGTGGTTGAGGAATCTGAGCAGAAAACGTGATGCCGCCAGCCGCAAGCAAGATAACAGTCACCAGACTGAAGGTCAGGCCAGTCTGAACAAAGATTATAGAAAAGGGGTCCATCAAGCTTTATTTTATCCACTTGATGCCCAGATTTTACGTTCTGCACATTTCTGAGCGGACTAAATTCATTTCATTTTGTGAGCTTAACTAAAAGTTTTACCAAAAAAAAAAAATGCTAGAATTTGGATGAATGATTGAACAGTTACTGGAACTTAGTTGTGTAAAATAAAATAATCTGAAATAAATAAAGTTTTTTCCCTACCAGGATATGGCCGCTTTCTTTGCTTGCAGCAATTTTTTATCAAGTTTCTTTAAAACAAAACTTCTTCAAACTTCGTCATTCCCAGTTATCAATCTAGTAAGTGAACTACCAATCTTTTCAAAGACTTCATTCTTATTGAAGATAACAGTGAGCTCAGGGTATTACTAAGAACTTACCTTAACCATGGTAGGAAGTGTCACAGCGATCTTTGTTCACACCAGAATGAGCTGCCGTTGTTTCCTCTGACCAGAAGGCAAACCTCCGGCTTTTTAACTGTTTCTCCTGTTTTATCAACTGGGAAGATCAGCTGATGCTGTTGTATGTATCGTTACTAACGCATGGTAAAAATGTTGTGTTTTCAAGTTTGTAGTTTTTATGTTTTAAGTGTAGCATTAGCCTGCACATTTGCCCAAACTTTTCCATCAAAATATGTCAGTTTCCATGTTGGGAAGTTCTGTGCTTTGGTTAAGGGGAAATTTGAATGTCGAGTTTTGCAGTCTCATCTGTCTCTAATGGTTTAGTGTGCAAATATCATCAGTGCACATTCCCTAAAAACTCAATAACAAACACACGTCTCACTGACATACAGACATCCTAAAAAGCAATATAACTACATTGTGTACCAGCCAAGGAATTTTCTTCCTTCTTTAAATTTGTAGTTATGAATTTTACATTACTTTCCAATGAGACTGTGACTTAGCTGTAACATGCTTGTCCATAATATCACCATAGTCCATAATATCGCCACCTTGACAAATAGTGTGCTTAAAGACATTTTTACTGCAACATATCCTAGGTATGTACATCTGAGGTATGCAGGAGTGCATACCAAAAGTATGTTGCAGTAAAAACACCCTGGTGATATTATGGACACACAGATGTTAGGGAAAACACTTTGACCCTCGGTGGCTGGCCATGGGGCAGTTTGACCTCTACATGTATGACCTCAGTGTGTGTGGTGGGGGGGGGGGTCAGTAACCAGCTGTGAATGTTGATATAACTGTTGTGATGTGTACCATTCCGTGCTGTAGGTCGCAGCAAAAACGCTTGACCCGCGGTGGTTGGAGCAGTTTGACCTTCACATGTACGACGACCAGACCAGTGTCCTTGAGATCTCCGTTTGGGACAAGGACGTCGGCAGCAAGGACGACTTCATGGGAAGGTCAGATATTTCAGTTGCCAACCTGTCAGAGATTTACACAATAAGTTAACTATAGCATTATGTGGCAGGACAGAGTGGAGATACTGGTCACCATATTATTATTGAATGTGTTTGAGTAAGAATAAACAGAACAGTAGTTAGTTAGGCTAGACCATGTGAAGGTAAACATTATGCATTTGCTTTGCAGCCTTCCTAAAGACAGTCAGAACTTAACTAAAGTGAACCCTGCCCCCCCCCCAGATGTCAAGTGGACCAGTCGGAGCTTTAGGCAGCACCTTGATAGTTTAACTGTTACATTAATGAGACTGAAGTGAACCCTGTCCCCCCCCAGATGCCAAGTGGACCTGTCGGAGCTGAAGCGAGAAGAGACGCATCACATCGAGAAGGAGCTGGAGGACGGGGCGGGTTCCGTGTCCTTCCTGCTCACCATTACAGGTAAACAAACAAACAAACAAACAAACAAACACATCAACAAACAGGGGCGGGTTCCGTGTCCTTCCTGCTCACCATTACAGGTAAACAAACAAGCAAACAAACAAACAAACACATCAACAAATGGGCGGGTTCCGTGTCCTTCCTGCTCACCATTACAGGTAAACAAACAAACATACAAACATCACAGGTAAACAAACAAACATCACAGGTAAACAAACAAACAAACCAACAAACACATAAACAAATGGGTGGGTTCCGTGTCTTTCCTGCTCACCATTACAGGTAAACAAACAAACAAACAAACACATCAACAAATGGGTGGGTTCCGTGTCCTTCCTGCTCACCATCACAGGTAAACAAACAAATATTACAGGTAAACAAACATTACAGGTAAACAAACAAAAAAACAAACAAACACATCAACAAACAGGCGGGTTCCGTGTCCTTCCTGCTCACCATTACAGGTAAACAAACAAACATACAAACATTACAGGTAAACAAACAAACAAACATTACAGGCAAACAACAAACAAACAAACAAACAAACAAGCAGGGGCAGGTTCCGTGTCCTTCCTGATCACCATCACAGGTAAACAAACAAACAAACATTACAGGTAAACAAACAACAAACAGGTGTCATAAAAATTATGCTATAAACAATGACAAAAACAGTCCCCACCCCTTTATGTAACTCTTACATTTTTACCGTATTTCATTTTCCCTGCACCACCCTTTGCAGCCATGCATGTAGTTAATGTACAGCTGCTAGATTTCACTATGGAAGGTTCACTAAAACCTCCATCCAGCTGCCATTTTAAACATGACGACAGCATATCGCAGAACTTACTGCACCTGTGTGTAACCACAGTTTCTGTTGGATTTTTGGTCAACATTGAATCAGAATTTTCTCTGTTGCATAAGATATTGTTACCAAAAGCTAAAGATATGATTATATCATCCTTATATACAATACTTTCTGTAGACGTTCTATGCACATTAATTACGTTTCAGATTTTGCACTGGGGCAGTACATTCTGCCGATGTGCTTATAACAACCATAAATATCAGATCAGAAATCCGACCTGGCCCAGAACGCTGCAGGACAAATAAATCATTTATCCTAAAACTTCCTTACGGTCTAAGGTGACCCCGTAACCTCCTAACCTCAATCACGGGTGTGAACATCAATGATTTTTTAATGCTCATATTCACATTTCGGCTAACCCTAATAAACGGCACGTAATGCGTCAGCATTCATGAATGCAAAGTTCACAAAAGGGTAAAGGTAGTCATATAGCCTTTTTGAAGCGGTAGGGGAAGTGGGTTGTTATTTGACTGTGTCTAGAGCAGGGTATAGAAAGGCGGAGCCCATCCCTCTCCTTCCACTGCCTTTTACCTCACCAACAGAAGTCAGGTTCCCATTTTACACCTGGGTGGAGTGAGGAAAGTCATGTTAAGTGCCAGATCTTTATCAGTATGTCTGCTAGCCTAGACAATCATTTTGCTTGATGCCACAGAAAATAGAGTAACAGAAAAGCACAAACAGCCACGAGGACAATGTTCCCTCCAGTTCCCCAGTCACACAAGTTTGGGCAGATAATTTAATTTTTGTCTCCTGATTTATTTATTCCCATTTCACACATTTTTAGCCCACATTTAGATTGCCGTATGGTACCATTTCTACATTTTGTCAGTCATAATCACATTCTTGAGTCCTTGCTTAGAATCAGACACATCCCAAAACTCATCTTTTATTATAACAGTGGTTTGTTTGGGGTTATCACTTGCACGAACTTTGTTTTCACACAGTTCATACTCATATTTTTTTGCATTTATTTTGTATTTTGTAATTTATGTTTTGTATTGATTATTTTCTTGCATGTTAATATTTTAATGTTGAAATTTTTGTTTATACCATACATGTACTAGAATGGGCACCTCATGTAATTAACATCTTTATTTCTAAACTAATTTTTGTGCTTGGAGTTGATCAAGGTGCTTTGTGTGATTCCTGCATTTTTTGTAAGAAAAACCAGGTCACTTCATTCTAGACTGAGTTGAACAAAATAATGTACAATGTACAGAGAGAGGAGCAACAGGTTTTGGACTCAGAATTTCAAATGATTGTATCATGATATTATGTATTGAGAAACAGTAAATTTATTTCAAAATGCTGTGTTTCTGATAATTGTCACTGTAGTATTCTTTGGAAAAAGCAAATGAAAACATGAAGAAAATCATTTTTTAACAGATCATGTTTGGTCAATCTGTGATCCTCCCATTGCACCTTGGTCAGCTCTGAGCCTCACCACTATAGATGGTCACCACCTTGTTTCACCTAACATGTTTTTGTTTTGTTCTGTATGTTCTGTTCTGGGCTGTTGGTGCATATTGGTGGTGCTGTTACTGCATGTTGGTGTTGGTTGTACTGGGTTGTACCTTGCTGTACTGTGCTGTACTCGGCTGTACTTGGTTGTGGCTGTACTGGACTGTACCGTGCTGTACTGGGTTGTGGCTGTACTGGGCTGTACTTGGCTGTACTCGGCTGTACACGGCTGTAGGGCATGCGAGCCATGCACACTCCCCTCCATGCTGGGCTGATGGTGCCTTCACACACTTAGGTAACACCTGCACAGACACACGTACTGTAGTTCCATCTTAGCTAACAGTTAAACACTTACTAAATAGGTGATAGTTATACACTCAACACATCCTCTACTGATGGGCCTCAAACTTGTAGTGCACAATAGAAAACACGTCGGCAGAATGTACTGTGCCTGCACGAAACACTGTGTAATGCACAAAACACTGTAATGTATTGAGCACAGCATTTCCGGTAAATGTACTGTGCAAAAAGTTGTAAATGTATAATGTGCACAGCACTTCAGACACATTTACTGTGTAGAAACATGTAAACTACAACGATATCATTGTACTGTGCGATACAAGCAGCAGTCTGTCATGAGAGGATGGGAAACAGTGCCATAGGCTGGAGTAGAAGAGTTGGTCAGCTGTGATTGTGTAAGGGGCCCAGCATGTGACACTTGTTGGTGTGTGCTCTAAACCTCTCCACAGCTAGAGACAGGGGGCTGCTTTAAAAAAATGGTTACTGTACATGATGTAGAACCATTATCACTTGGCTGTAAACACCATTTAACACAAAGACTTAGTATCATTAGACAGTGTAATCTCTTATGACTTATACTTTCTGCCAACATAGAACCATAGATCCTGCTTTGCTTTGAGATATTTCCTGGACGTGCAGTTTTGTCTGACAGCGCCACCTTTCTGTGTGTGTAGGTAGTGCAGGCAACGAGACCATCACAGATCTGGCCAACTACATGCCTGATCCCAGGGAGAGGCTAGAAGTCCAGAGGAGATATGTGAGTACTACTTAGTGTGTTACGCCGAAAGGCGGTTATACCGGCTATACAGATACAGATACAGAGACATGTATTTAAACTAAGTACTAATCAGGGCTGGAAATACTGGGTGCATGTGCAGCTTAGTGCACCCAAATTTGGAGCTGTGCACCCAATTTTTTCTGTGGGTGCACCAGTGCACCCAAATATTTTCGTAGGTTTAACATATGTAAAAGATGTTAAATGTATAGTACTTAGGGACTGTACGATATTTACCGGGGAGGGGGGCCGGTCGTCCGGGGGTAGCGTAAAAAAATTTCCTAGGCCCTCCCCCCAGGTGAAAAAAAATTTTCCTAGGCCCTCCCCCCGGCTCAAAAAATTTTTCCTAGGCCCTCCCCCGGCGTGAATCATAGAGAGTGAAATTTTGTATGGGGAGGACGAGATTTTGATTGAAAATTTACCCCGCATGAAGCGCCGAAGGCGCGAGCCATCGCACCGCAGGCGCCACTAGAGCCCGAGTAGGCCGTGTTTTTTTTGGGGGGGGGGCATGTCCCCCCCGGAAAAATTTTGAATTTCAACCCATGTTTTGCATGTTGAGGGGCAAATTTGGCAGCACAAATTTCGCTGGTACATCGAGCTATAAATTAAAAGTCAGTAACGTTATGGTCAGTCAGTGTAATCGAAATAATCCTCTATCTAGCCTACCTTTCGTCCACGAACTTCTTCCGCGTCAATTTTATTACAAACAGGGAAACAATATTGCCAAGTTACGTGTTGTTTTCAATTAACTTTGGAGGAACATAGATATAAATGTTAAAATAGTCCTTGGTTTAAAAAAATACCAAATTAATCCGTCGACATCCGATATCCACGCCGAGAAGTTCGAGCAAGTTGCGAGGCGGGACCAGCGGGACCTTTGCCGACGCACGCACGCACACCTCTGGGAAGGGTGCGTTGAACGGCGAAAATTAATTTTCAAAATCTTCAGACAAGCCTTCCCTACATTTTTGATCGGTATCGTTTCGATTGCCGCGATTGACGCGATTTTAGTCCATGTAATTTGGCTGTGTAGTCCAGTTTCGCCGATTCTGGCGAAAATGCAAGATTTTGAAGGGGACTGTGGGAGATTTGGGCGAATACATTATAATAATAGGGATGGATATTATTGGAACGTAAAATTCTGCCGATTCCAATGACTGGAAAATCGCTACGATATGTTGGGTCAGACGTTTAATCATGTTTTGAAACTGTATTAAAACGTTGTAGAGTTAAAGGGATCTTGGAAAATTTTTTACCTAGGCCCTCCCCCAAATTAAAATATTTTTTCCTAGGCCCTCCCCCCGGCTCAAATTTTTTTTCCTAGGCCCTCCCCCCTCAGACGACCGGCCCTCCCCCCCGGTAAATATCGTACAGTCCCTTACAGCGTACTCTTTAACATCTAAGTGTCAGAAAAAAATAATACAATCATTGTGTACTTTTCGTGAAATGAAACTTTATAGTTTTTGCAGACTTTCTAGTTCTTATTGTATCTTATATGGTGCACCTAATATTTTTTAGTGCACCCAATTTTTTAGGTTGGGTGCACCTATTCCCAAAAGTGAATTTTATGCCCTGTGTACTTATCTAACATGTACTAACAGGAACTGTACAGTAACACTTATAACTTTGGATGACAAAAAACTACTGGAAGTTGAATTTGTTTTTCCTGAACATGATACAGCTTAATCTGACATTGTATTAAAACACGCAATTCAGCCTATGACTGCTATCATTTGTTTTGATGAATAAACCTTTCATCATTATTATTATTATTACAGCACATTCCTGGCTTTCCAGTAACTCAAAAACTTTCTGCACTCAATCAGATCTAGAACATCATTAATTTTACCCCATATTTGGTACTGAACAGTCTTACAGTAACATTCTGGTCACCATAGCTAGAATGCCTGTCCTTGGTGCTGAACGCCATCCAAGCATAGCATGCGTTCCTTACTACAAAATATCATCAATAGGTCAGTAAGTAGTGAACTAAGTAATAGTAGTACAGTAAAATAGTTGAGTATTAAGTAATGTAACAGACGAGTATAACAGTAAGTACAGTTACTGACGATGTAAGTAAATTAACAGTTTGATCAGACTTTCTGCTTCTGTCTGTCCAGTCTTTACTCAGGTCTCTCAGGAACTTGAGTGACGTAGGACTGTTGCAGGTCAAAGGTAAACTATCACCCATTCTTTCCTTCTTCCTTGAGTTTCACAGTGGCATTGTTAGGTTGTTCCTACTTTGTTTTATGCAAAAAGGTAAAGTTTATGGTTTGCAAACATTTGCAAAACGAATGCATAATGTTTACCTTCGCATATGGTCTGCTCTGTTAATTCTTACTCAAAAGCATTCATAAATATTGTCAGACAGGAATCTAAATCCCTCTGCTCTAAAGTTGCAACATGATTTAACCCAACAGTAGTCACCATGGTGATAGACGTCTGGTTCAGGTCATTGACCTTATTGGTTTGGAGAAGAAGATCGAGGAAGAAGAGGAAACAGAGCAAAAACAATACGTTATGTTTTCCCTCTGTAAACATAAACATGCCCAGCATTAAACCTTTTAACAATCATGAAAAAAATGTAGTTTTTAATCCATTAAACTGGAGTATTTATTTCCCTTCACCAATGGAAACTGATTGATTTGTTTCCCTGTGTGCCTGACAGTCATCAAGGCTACAGGGTTGCTGCTATTAGTCCATAGAGTCTGTTTCACATAACTGGTAAATCACCTTTAGCTGTAACACACGAGTTTTGTATATTTTAAGGACTTGTACAAGCCTTTAAGGCTTCATCTTCTCCTGCACATTGTTTTTAATTTAATTTACTTCACCTTGTATCTTGTTTTTTGTGGGAAATAAATAAATGAAAAAAATAGTATGTTGTGGATAATTTTCCTTAAATACCAGTGTATACTGACTTATTCCACTACTTTGTTTCCCTGTGTTCCACAGTCATCAAGGCCACAGGTCTGCTGGCGGCAGATTTCGGCGGGAAAAGTGACCCGTTCTGTGTGCTGGAGCTGACCAACGCCAGACTACAGACTCAAACTATCTACAAAACTCTCAACCCCGAGTGGGGGAAGGTCTTCACATTGTAAGTTTGCTGTAAGGTCTTCACATTGTAAGTTTGCTGTAAGGTCTTCACATTGTAAGTTTGCTGTAAGGTCTTCACATTGTAAGTTTGCTGTAAGGTCTTCACATTGTAAGTTTGCTGTAAGGTCTTCACATTGTAAGTTTGCTGTAAGGTCTTCACATTGTAAGTTTGCTGTAAGGTCTTCACATTGTAAGTTTGCTTCCTGAGGGGGGAAAGGTCTTCACATTGTAAGACATGAAGCTTAATACTACTTCTAATAGTAATAGACTAAGTAAAGGTGTTGAACTTCACATTGTAAGTTTCCTTCCTGAGGGGGGAAGGTCTTCACATTGTACATGTAAGACTTGAAGGGGACTCATTTAGAATCCCACACACCGTCAATGCTGCCACCAAAGGGTTCGGACTACCACGACAGAACCACCAGAAACAGAGACAAATATAGACCAATCAAATGTAGGACTGACCGACTCAGGAACTCCCCAATAGCGTACATTGTTCGCCTTTTAAATACTTATAATCAAATAGTTAATGTTTTTAAGGATTAAGCTTTTAATATCGTCTGATAATCGTATTATTGTATAAATGCTAGATTTTATTCATCAACGTTATTTCTTTTTATACTTATGTATATGATAATTGACCCATTGTTTTATTTTGAGCTCTGAAAATATTTGTAATCGGAATCCGCAATTCAGCCTGCGGGCTGCGATGGGTTTGTATGTCAATAAACCATTCATCATCATCATCATCAAGCTTAGTAGTAATACTACCCCAAATTTGGTTGGTCATTTCACAAAATGGTTTTTTGGTCGTGGTTTATTGGACATCATAGTGCTTATGTTGAGAACATGTCAACAATCACAGCGATGGTGTAGTCTTCTAGTTACAAGCAAAGCTTATAAATGTAAACAAGTCTTGCATGGGTAAAACATTGTTGCTTCACACACATTCTTTTCCCCTTGACCTACCTGTCGAGTGAGATGTTGTTCTTCTGCAGTCAAGTTAAAGCAATACTATTAGTTATAGGACTGTTGTTTTGCTTAGTTAAGACCATGTTTTTTTGTGCAGCCAAGTTAAAGCTTAGTTAGGACAGTTGTTTTGCTGTTTTCTACTGTAGCCAAGTTAAAAAGTTTAGTTTGGACTGATGTTTTGCTATTTTTTCTGCAACCAAGTTAAAGTTTAGTTTAGGATGTTGTTTTTCTGCAGCCAAGTAAAAGTTTTGTTAGGACGGTGTTGTTTTTCTTAGTTAAGACAGTTATTTTGCTGTTTTTTTCTGCAGCCAAGTTGAATTTTAGTTTAGGATGTTGTTTTGCTGATTTCAGACAGTTGACATAAAGTAAAAGCTTATTTACATCGTAGGATGGTTGTTTTGCTGTTTTTTGTGCAGCCAAGTAAAAGACATCCACTCCATCCTGGAGGTGAGTGTTTACGACGAGGACAGGAACAAGTCAGCAGAGTTCCTGGGCAAGGTCGCCATTCCACTTCTCAGAGTAAGTTATAATGACTCTTACTCTTAAAACTTCACCACTTCTCAGAGTAAGCACAAATTATTCTTCCTCTTATAAAACTTCACCACTACTCAGAGTAAGCACAAATTATTCTTCCTCTTATAAAACTTCACCACTACTCAGAGTAAGCACAGCTCTTCCTACATAAACTTAAACATCAGAGGAATGTGTTGTATGTTGTAACCTGTAATTCCTTCTCTTAAAACTTATAAAAACAAACATTACAGGAATCTGTTATAGAGATGATGTGTTTCTGTGTTGAGGGCAAGTAACATCCGTGTCCATAATATCACCAGGGTCCATAATATCGCCACCTTGAGAAATAGTGTGCTTAAAGATATTTTTACTGCCACATACCCTAGTTATGTACATTTGAGGTGTGAAGGAGTGCATACCAAAAGTATGTTGCAGTAAAATATCTTTTATCACACTATTTCTCAAGGTGGTGATATTATGGACCCTGGTGATATTATGGACAGAGATGTGTTAACTGTTCATCCGTATTATGATGGGGTGAGCAGTCAGTCACCAGAGGGTTAGACAAAAAAAGGCATTGTTCAGGTGCAAACAATACATTTTGACAAAGTATCTTCCATTCAACAGTAGTATCTATCTCTCACTAATAGACTTAGTTCCTCCTGTGCATAGCACATTGGGCAGTAAATTCCCATCTATCTCAGAGTCTATACTCACTCACACACTCACTCTACAATGTACTAAATATGAGTACTTGAGTTTTACTGGTAGTTCCTGCCCTTGCCAGATTAAGAATGGAGAGAGGAAAGCGTTCTACCTGAAGGACAAGAAGCTGAGGAGAAGAACAAAGGGGTCCATCGTGCTGGAGATGGAGGTTATCTACAACTCTGTAAGTCATCTACAACTCTGTAAGCAACTTTCTCTCACACACCTCCCACTCTACAACTCTGTAAGCAACTTTCTCTCACACACCTCTCACTCTACAACTCGGTAAGTCATGTACAACTCTGTAAGTCACCTACAACTCTGTAAGCAACTTTTCTCTCACACACCTCTCACTCTACAACTCTGTAAGTCACCTACAACTCTGTAAGCAACTTTTCTCTCACACACCTCTCACTCTACAACTCTGTAAGTCACCTACAACTCTGTAAGCAACTTTTCTCTCACACACCTCTCACTCTACAACTCTGTAAGCAACTTTTCTCTCACACACCTTTCACTCTACAACTCTGTTAGTCATCTACAACTCTGTAAGCAACTTTCTCTCACACACCTCTCACTCTACAACTCTGTAAGCAACTTTTCTCTCAAACCGCTCTCATTCTACAACTCTGTAAGTCACCTACAACTCTGTAAGTCACCTACAACGCTGTAAGCAACTTTTCTCTCACACACCTCCCACTCTACAACTCTGTAAGTCATCTACAACGCTGTAAGCAACTTTTCTCTCAAACCGATCTCACAATAACATTGTAGAAGTTATCTACAACTCTGTAAGCTACTTTTCTCTGAAACCACTTGCACAAGAGCACAGTAGAACTGGTAACCAGGATATGAAGAAACTTGTAATTTTTAAAAATACTTTTCTTCTCACCAATCGTCAAACAACCTGTTAAATATAGAAATTGAATATTTTTATAATTTAAGTTCTACTATTGTCGCATGCATACTATCCAGCACAGGAAAATAATGCAATGTAAAACATAATGTATGACTTAAGCTGTGTTGTAACCTCTAACCTTTGACCCGTATGTAACATCTAACCTATGACCTATATGTAACCTCTAACCTATGACCTGTATGTAACCACCTAACCTATGACCTGTATATAACATCTAACCTTTGACCTACATGTAACATCTAACCTTTGACCTATATGTAACATCTAACCTATTGACCTGTATGTAACCTCTCCCCTATGACCTTACAGATCAAGGCCAGCTGGAGGACGTTTAACCCAAAGGAGGTGAAATATCTGCAGATGGAGCAGAAGTTCAAACGACAGGTGAGTCCATCCGAGGTTTTTGTTGGAGTAGAATTTTGGCGGAGCAAAGGCCACTGTAGTCCGGTTGCCAAACCCCCGATTTTTGGAGAACCTTGCAATGCGGTCCATACAAAGTTTTTTTGTTGTTTCTATATCTCTGAGGTGTGCTCTTTCAGAATCTGAATGATGCCACTCTGTCATCCTTGGGCAATTCGCACAATATGCAAATTAAGGTGGCCATTACTGAAAATCCAGTTTTCGTCAAAATCTCAGTAACTACTCATGGTATCAGAATAATTTTGGTGTCTATCCCCATCTTTTGAGGGATAACGAATTAAATCAAGCCATTTCAGTAAAGATAGAACCACTATTTTTTGCTAAATATGCAAATTTGGGCCGCGCAATATGCAAATTAGGGCGGCCATTACTGAAAATCTGTTTTTCGTCAATATCTCAGTACTACTCATGGTATCAGAATAATTTTGGTGTCTATCCCCATGTTTTGAGGGATAACGAATTAAATTAAGCCATTTCAGTAAAGATAGAACCATTATTTTTTGCTACATATGCAAATTTGGGCCTTGTCTGTTATTGACATACCTGGCTGCCAGCAAGGAGGGGTCCTAATTCCGACCCATGTTCCATGCAAACGCACATGCCTTGGTATAGTTTATCTGACCCAAAACCTGTTCAATATTGAAAGACAATTCTAAGTTTACTTAAGTCTAGATGGCAGACGTCTTCTAGCATGAAACGCTGCTTGCGTTGAACCTAGCCGCCGGGTCACGCACAGACACCTGTCCAAGATTATGAAGTCACGTGTGTTGTTCTGTGCTAGAATTGTTCAGAAGAAGGTAGTTATAGACAATATAGAGGGTACTGTGCTGTTCTCGACATAGCTACATCATCAGTCAGTCATAGTGACCATACACGGGTCTGCGCATCAACCAGCAGGGCCGAACCCACCATACCAGCCACAGGCGTACCAGTCTGGGACCTGCCAGGATCGCCCCTTGACCCAGCCAGGGACCCTGTAGCTACCCGGCCGGAATGCAAGAGCTAGTCGGCACCCTATTGCATCCCGCACAGGTCTGACAGAAGACTGACTGTGCACCGGACGGGTCCCCAACAGAAACCGGTCGTCAAGGGGACCAAAATTTTGTGAATTTTACATAGAAGCCGCCTCAGCGCCCCGACAGGGAGCCGTAAAGGAAAATTCAATTGTGACCCTGACAGCCGGCGTACGCTCGGCTTCATGACGCCGGCCGGCGTCTACACCGAGAACATGCCGAGCAGGTCCCGTTTCAAATGTGACTCCAGCTGAACTACTGATCCGTTCTTCCAGTCCTCCAGCACTTCCCTGTGATCGCCGTTGAATGCCTGCTTTATTCCAGGGAAGGCGTACTAGGGAAGACGGCTATGGTTCTATTAAAGCGTTTGCGATGTACGGCGATCAGAAAAGCGTCCATCTCACAACACAGTCACCCTCGGCTTTTAGCATCTCTGAAGTGATGCCATTCATGCCTGGTGACTGACTTCAGCTTCGGAGATGTCCTCGATCTCAACAGGTAATGGGTGTAGGTGTTCATCAAAGACTAATGCTACTGAGGTAGTGCTTGAGCGGTTTAAGACTTTTTGAAAAGTATTCTGCCCACCTGGCAAGCTTGTCCTCCCCTAAGACAGTGGTAGGGTCCCATCCTTCGCCTTAATTAGGACTGTGCGCTTTTGAGCGGCCGCCGGTCATCTTTTTGGAGATCTCTTAAGCTTTGGTCCTAATTGTAAAAAAAAGTCCCTGGCGGGTAGTTCCCGGGCTGTTTTTGACACTTTCAGGCGTGGGACACCCCGCGGCTACCGGGCTATTTTTTTGGCCTGTCCGGGAATCAAGAAGAATTCAACTCTGACTTAAATTCTACACGGGCCACGCTGACATAAAATTCAGGATGTCAAGTTAGCGCTTTATTCTGCCTGTACACAGACGCTGGTAAGGCACAGGTGTGGGCTTATGAAGGGTCTAATATTTTTTTAACAGATTGTATCATTTATTAACATTCCTATCAGTGTTCAGAGGTACAGGCGCCCATGCTATATACTGGTTAGTTTTTGCATAATTTGCATTAAATGTTGGTGTGATTAATACTGGGATGGTTTATTCTGATTATCTAGCCTTCAAAACATGTGTATAGTACAAATGTATGTGTATTGTATCAAAATTATTGTTGATACCATGAGATTTATTGAGATATTGACAAAAAACAGATTTTCAGTAATGGTGGCCTAAATTTGCATATTAAGCACAAAAATATCTATTTGATCTCCACTGAAATGGCCTTATGCTCAATAGTTATTAAAAAAACATGGGGAAAGACACCAAAGATATTATAATACCATATGTAGTTACTGAGATATTGACGGAAAACAGATTTTTAGTAATGGCTACCTTGATTTGCCTATTGTGCGGCTTTAATTTGCATATTTCAGCACAAAAAACTGGTTTGATCTTTACTGAAATGGCTTAATTCCATTCGTTATCCCTCAAAACATGGGGATAGACACCAAAATTATTCTGATACCATGAGTTACTGAGAAATTGACGAAAAACAGATTTTCAGTAATGGCCGCCCTAATTTGCATATTGCGCGGCCCAAATTTGCATATTTAGCAAAAATAGTGGTTCTAACTTTACTGAAATGGCTTGATTTAATTCGTTATCCCTCAAAAGATGGGGATAGACACGAAAATTATTCTGATATCATGAGTAGTTACTGAGATTTTGACGAAAACTGGATTTTCAGTAATGGCCACCTTAATTTGCATATTGTGCGAATTGCCCAAGGATGACAGAGTGGCATCATTCAGATTCTGAAAGAGCACACCTCAGAGATATAGAAACAACAAAAAAACTTTGTATGGACCGCATTGCACGCTTATCGGTCTCTGCCACCAGACTACTGACGATCTTCCTCCATCCAGCTGTTCTGGGCTTCTCTCTCGACATCCTCCCAGCGCATTCCCAGTTCAGACAGCTCCTTCTCCGTGTCTCGCCTTCAGGAGTTTCTGGGACGGCCCCTCCTTCTTCTACCCCTGGGGTTCCAGTTCTTAACAGTTCTTCGTTTTGTTGGAGTAGCCTGGATGTTATTCTGTCTTGGTGCTGTGCTACCTACCATTCATGGGGAACACAAGCACATCGGCAGAGCGTACTGCGCCTGGGCGAAACCCTGATTTTTCACAGTTTTCTTTGAAGTTTGGTCAACGTTGTATCAGAATTTTGCCTGTTGCAGACAGTATCTTTTCCAACCCAACTACAGAAGGAGTGTTAACCGTATGTGCACGAATACGAAATGTTCTGCCAAAGTGCTATGCTCAATACATTACGGATTTCGCGCAGGTGCAGTACGTTCTGCCGACATGCTGGCAACACATGTATAAATACTTAATGAAACCTTAATGATCCTGCCCTGCCAAAGATGCACCAAATTTTTGTCGTATCAGGTGAAGTTTGATGAAGATAGGTGGCTACGCCAGCTGAGACAACACCGAAAGGTCATGGTCTGATTTCTTGCATTCTGGTGAAGACATTTTTCCTTGTGAAATTAACACATTTTCCCCGCTCCTCCCAGGTGTAATAAATAAACTGGAAAACCTGACTTCAGTGGGGACTCCTGGTATAAGGCAGTGGAAGGAGAGGGATGGACTCTAATACTCTAAACCCTCTAATACTGCACTCCAGACACAGTGGATAACAACCCACTGCCCCTACAGCCCCAAAGCCTAATATGTGGGATTGGGGCTACCTTTACCTTTACTTACTGTTTCAAGTTTCAAGTTTATTTATTTAACCAGGATATAACTCAGATCTACCGATCTGCTTTTCAGTTATTCCTGGGAACTCAAGCCAAGGTACATTTAAAAATACAGTATATCACAGAGAAAAAATCACAATGACGTTACATTACATCACAATCAATTACATATAAATCACAGTGTGCACTGCTACAGTTACAGTCACATTCAGTAAACCGGTCTGGTTTTGAACACGGACGTTGATGTTATTTGCCGTTTGTCAACAGCTAGTCTGTTCCACACTAGTGGCCCTTGATATTGCAAACTCCCTTTGAATGTTTCCAGGTTTGCCTTTGGAGTGTCCAGCATGTAAGGGTCGAAACTGAGGAGCTGTTTCATGGCAGTGCGTGTGCGAACTCTGAACACTGGGGGTGATAGCCATTTAAACATATTTGTCATGTAGGCAGGAGCTTTGTGGCGAACTGCCTTCTGTACAGCTACTAGCGTACTCACTTTTACCCTATCAGCCAGTGGTACCAAACCAGCCTCAGCTAGCAGGGTTTCTGTAGGAACACGATCTTTGAGTGTTCGCCCTGTGATAATCCTGGCTGCACGATTTAACAATCTAGACAATTGCAGTGTCTTTGATTTGTTACAGTGTAAAAGCGATAGTAACCATGAGGTATCACAATAATCTAGGTGTGTGTATAACAAGGTACAACACATGACTTGAAGAATCTCCTTAGTAACAAAGGGTTTAGCCCGGCTTAAGGCACTAAGGCCAGCAAGGAGCTTCTTTACAACTCTCTCGGCATGTCCTGACCAGGTTAGAGAGGAATCCATAGTGACACCTAAATATGTAAAAAGGTTAACCTGTTCGAACGAGTTAGACCCATCAGTTACAGTGATGTTCTTTCCTGCATGCCGCAGTTTCTGAGGTGTTCCAAAAACCATGGATTTAGTTTTGTCAGGATGAAGTGATAGCATGTTTTCAATAAACCAGTTGGCTACCGATTTCATATCCTGTGAAACAATTTCCTCACATTCCTTTGACAGGCTTGCCGAGTAGTAAATCACTGTGTCGTCGGCATACATATGGAGTTTACACTTCTGCACAACTTGTGGTAGATCGTTTACATATAAACTGAATAACAAGGGTCCTAAGACACTCCCTTGCGGGACACCACATGTGACACGTTTTAGCGTAGACTGCTTGTTCTGTATATCTACGTGTTGAAAACGGTCTGTGAGGTATGACCTGAACCAGTTTGTCGCGCCGTTGTCGAAACCCATCTTCTGAAGTTTTCCCAGGAGGATTTGGTGGTTGACTGTATCAAACGCTTTCCTTAGGTCAAGGAAAAGTAAATCTGTAAACTTTAAGATAAGGTAGTCCTTAACAATCTTTTTACAACCTTTCCAGATCCTGGTGCAAAACCCAGCAGAGAATGAGGATATGAGTGAAAGAAAGTGCATCTGTGTTGGTAGTTATTGTTTAGAGTTAAAACTTGAGATCCAACACAAAAAGTTCTCTCACCTAGAGCTTTTGACCAGTTACTCTGGTCTTACTCAGTAGACTGACCCAGTGAGGCTTGTCACGTGGCTTCACCCTTCATTGTCTATCATTGACATCGTCTACCAGATACCTTTGACCCAGTGTTGACGTCACACTTCAAAGAAGCCACGTGACAAGCCTCACTGGGTCAGTCTACTGAGGAAGACCAGAGTGACTGGTCAAAAGCTCTAGGTGAGAGAACTTTTTGTGTTGGATCTCAAGTTTTAACTCGAAACAGATAATGTTACATGTTTGTTTCAAATTGTTTGTTTAGATCCTGGTGCGAAACCTGCAGAGAGTGAGGATAATGTTACATGTTTATTTGTTTGTTTGTTTGTTTGTTTGTTTGTTTAGATCCTGGTGCGAAACCCGCAGAGAGTGAGGATAATGTTACATGTTTGTTTGTTTGTTTGTTTGTTTGTTTAGATCCTGGTACGTAACCTGCAGAGAGTGAGCCGGCTGGTGATGGCTGTGGTGAACACCGGCAGGTTCGTCAAGAGCTGCTTCGAGTGGGAGTCAAAAACTCGCAGCATCACGGCTTTTATTGTGAGTCTCATCTTAACATGTCCTAATCTATCTGTTATGTAAGCCGTGCTGCCCCATACCATGAAATTGCAACATTATGTAACCCAACACCAGTCACCATGGTGACAGATGTCAACAAATCATGTCATTGGGCAGGTCTGAGGTTAGTGTTTGGAACAGAAGAGGAAGAAACTGAGTAAAAACAATGTTTTCCTTCGGTAGACATAAATATGATGTTGTCCTCAGATGTATGTGTTGATGGTGTGGAACTTTGAGCTGTACATGTTAACCTGACAGTTGTGTTGTAACCCTGAGTTGTTACAGCTGACAGGTGTGTTGTTACAACTGACAGGTGTGTTGTAATGTTGAGTTGTAAACCTGACAGATGTGTTGTTACAGCTGACAGTTGTGTTGTGTTGTTATAGATGTATGTCCTGATGGTGTGGAACTTTGAGCTGTACATGTTGCCGCTGGTCCTGCTTAGCATCTTCTTCAAGTACTACATCGTTCGCTCCGTCATGGAGGGCAGGACAGACCAACAGGAGGTAAGGACTGGCATATCCAGATCCGCGCTTTATCCAGAACCATGCTGTATCCAGAAACGTGATTTATCCAGAACCATGCTTTATCCAGAACCATGCTTTATCCAGAACCATGCTTTATCCAGAACCATGCTTTATCCAGAACCATGCTTTATCCAGAATCATGCTTTATCCAGAACTGTGATTTATCCAGAACCGTGATTTATCCAGAACCACACTCAGGGACAGATCTGGATAGTCCATGTGATCCAGAACTGTGGCTGAGGCAAGGTTCTAGGATTTGCGGAGACTATATCCAGAACCGTTCCTGATCCTAACCCTGCCCCATACTGGCATAGAACTAGAGACATGTAGGCACGGTTCATGATAAGTGTGTGCCAAAAGATTTTTATTCGATAGAAGGTCACCTCAAAACCAGTGTTCTAAGCCACTCAAGGTTTGAGTTACTAGTACTTAGAATAATATGCACGCTGTTAGCATCGTAACAGTTGCAATCTACTTGATGTAGTTAGAAATGAGTTACACTTCACAGAAATCTGACATCCTTGTTCCTGACCTGTATGTTTACCTGTTGTCTCACCTGTATGTTTACCTGTTGTCTCACCTGTGTTTACCTGTTGTCTCACCTGTCTGTTCTTCAGGAGGCAGAGGAGGAGGAGCAAGATGAGGATGAGGATGATGAGGAGAGGGGGAAGGTATGGCAGAAACTCTTCTCTTACCTTAACTCTGTTCATGCTTACCCAAGTACACAAACTCCCATGGTGTAACTTATAACAGCCGTGTCTTAATTAACCATGCAGAGATACTGGTTCAGTTACTCTCCAGACTTATGTTCCAACACCACTGTAGGTACACAAACTCTCATGTTGTAACTTACAACCGGTGTCATTTTGCTTATAGTATATTATACTCCTACGTGTATCTTCTGACAACCCTTACCTTATGTCAAAGCAAAGGGTTTTCCCTGCTGATTCAGAATTGTTCTGATGAAATAAATCTGTTTTGTTTCACTTAATGAGAATTTGTGCTTGACTAAGTGAATGTATCACCTTCAGGAGAAGAGTAAGAGTTTTAGGGAAATGATCCAGGACGTTTGAATGTTATTTCCCCTATAAAAATTTGAAGTTGTGCTTGACTGTTTTGATTTCTTGCAGCAAAAGTTGTGTTTGTAATGAATGATTGACTGGATGTTATTTCCTACAGGAGAAGAGTAAGAGTTTTAAGAAGTTGTGCTGTACTGTAGTTTTGAATGTTGTGTCTAGTAGAAGTTGTGATTGACTGTTTGAATGTTTCCCCTTCAGGAGAAAAGTAAGAGTTTTAAAGAGAAACTTCAGGCGATCCAGGATGTTTGTCAGACGGTTCAGAACGGGCTGGACGATGTGGCAAGTCTGGGCGAGAGTGTCAAAAAGTAAGGAACAGAGATTTGTTCTTTTTGAATGTACTCACTGACAGTCAATAGCAGGAAAAATGCATTTATCACTCAATGTCTTCAAGTTTTTTCCTAGGGGTTGTTTCTGTGTTTTTAGTGCTTTGGATGTCTTCCAAAATGTGTATATTATTATTTAATGGACAGTTTTTGTGTTTTGGTTGTATAAGTTTGTGTGTTATAGGGAAAAGATTGTAACATTCTGTGTCTTTAGTGCATTTAACTGGACGGTTGTGTAGGTTGATTGTTAGTTTGTTTGTATTATTACCAGTAGGTTGATAGTTTTTTGGTTGTTTTCAGTGCGTTTAACTGGACGATTCTGTGTGTATGTAGGTTGATTATTAGTTTTGTTGTTTTCAGTGCGTTTAACTTGATGGTTTTGTTTGTGTTTATTTCAGTGCGTTTAACTGGATGGTTGTGTTTGTGTGTTTTATCTGTAGGTTGATTGTTAGTTTGTGTGTTAGGTTGATTACTTTGGGATTATTGATTGAGTTTTGTGTTCATTTCAGTGCGTTTAACTGGACGGTTTTGTTTGTGTATTTTAACTGTAGGTTGACTGTTAGTTTGTATCATTACCTGTAGGTTGACAGTTTTTTTTTTGTTTTCAGTGCGTTTAACTGGACGGTTCCGTTCCTGTCGTGGCTGGCTGTCATCACGCTGGCCATCGCCACCGTCGTTCTGTACTTCATCCCTCTCAGATACCTAGTCCTGGTCTGGGGTAAGTACACAAACAAACAAACAAAAAAAACAAAAAAACAACTGATACCTGGTCCTGGTCTGGGGTAAGTAAACAAACAAACAAACAAACAACAGATACCTGGTCCTGGTTTGGGGGAAGTACACAAACAAACAAACAAACAACAAACAACAGGTACCTGGTCCTGGTCTGGGGTAAGTAAACAAACAATTCAATTCAATTCAATTCAATTCAATTCAATTCAGTCTTTATTAAACAACTCGCAGACTTAAGTCTGAATTGTGTTGCTCATTACAATATTCGGGAAACGTTAATAAGATTACAGACAATTATCTTAAGTAAAATGCGCTTTCATTTACAAATATAATACATTACATAACATTACAAATTAAAATATATCATAAAACACAGAAGAGAAGACGTCTGTGCCACTGCGTCACTCAGTGTATAAGGTACTGCAGACACGACAGATAAGTGAAGTCTGAGCGCAAGTACTATATTCATTACTTGGCATTTAACAGTTCAACTAAAAACGGAATTGGTGAGTTCTTGTGACGTGCAGACCGACAGAGTGGAACATCAAATTTATTAGCATTACGTGTACTTCTACCGGAAATGTTCTGTCTCAGCGGGGGCAACCAATCACGGAACTCAGAGTTCAGCAGGGATTCTGCAAATGCCCTACAAAGTTCACGACGTCGGTCAGCAAGGGAGCTGAGGTTCAGGGTTGTCAGTGCCATGTTATAGCTCGAATACTGTGATCCCAAGATGATTTTACAGGCCCTCGTCTGGATCCGTTCTAGAGTCTTAGATTGTTTAGTGGTCAAGGCCGGATGCCACACGGGCACTGCGTATTCCAGTAAAGGGCGCACGTACACGGTGTAGACAGACACCAGGTCAGGAACTGACACACCGAATCTTTTCAGCCTCCGTACCATGTAGAGTCTCCTATTTGAGGATTTCACCATACTGTCCACTTGCTGGTCCCATTTCAGATTGTTTTGAATCGTCAGGCCGAGAACCTTGATGCATGTCACGGTTACCAGCAAACAAACAAACAAACAACAGATACCTGGTCCTGGTTTGGGGGAAGTACACAAACAAACAAACAAACAAACAAACAACAAACAACAGGTACCTGGTCCTGGTCTGGGGTAAGTGCACAAACAAACAAACAAACAAACAAACAACAGATACCTGGTCCTGGTCTGGGGGAAGTACACAAACAAACAAACAACAGATACCTGGTCTGGGGGAAGTACACAAACAAACAAACAAACAAACAACAGATACCTGGTCTGGGGGAAGTACACAAACAAACAAACAAACAACAGATACCTGGTCCTGGTCTGGGGGAAGTACACAAACAAACAAACAAACAAACAACAGATACCTGGTCCTGGTCTGGGGGAAGCTCACAAACAAACAAACAAACAAACAACAGATACCTGGTCCTGGTCTGGGGGAAGTACACAAACAAACAAACAAACAACAGATACCTGGTCCTGGTCTGGGGGAAGTACACAAACAAACAAACAAACAAACAACAGATACCTGGTCTGGGGGAAGTACACAAACAAACAAACAAACAAACAAACAACAGATACCTGGTCCTGGTCTGGGGGAAGTACACAAACAAACAAACAAACAACAGATACCTGGTCCTGGTTTATAAAGTTTATAAAGAAGCTGAATGCCTGAACCATTTTGTAGGATCTGTGCTAAACTGTTCATTGTCCAATTATGAGGGTTAACGTTAGCCCTTTATAATAGCCTCTGGCTAGTTGGGCAGTCCTGGCTGTACATGTACATATCTGTTTATACAGTTTAATAAATCGAATCCAGACTCCAAGCTAACCCTGGTCCCCTTCCCCCTCGCAGGTATCAACAAGTTTACAAAGAAGCTGCGGAACCCGAACGCCATTCCCAACAACGAGCTCGTCGACTTCCTGTCCAGGGTGCCGTCAGACGAGGAACTGGTACGTCAGCTTTTTTTTTCTCCTTCGACCATCATTTAACCTTGAAACCTTTAACCTTTGATGTGTGAGTATTGTTCCATTGTAGCATACTCAGTGTACAAAATACTTTTTTGAACCAGGCTGCCCAGTGGGCTACCTATGGCAAAAATTAGGTTGCCCATCAGAATTTTACGTTGCTACTTTCCTCAAATTAAGTAATGTTACATACATAAGCCTTTGACGATATTTTTAACAGCCTTTAGTTAACTGATACTAGTAATAGCTATTAATACCTAAAATTAAAAAGCATCTGTGGGATACAGTGGAGCAAGCCAAGTGGGCATAATTTCGTGGGGGGGGCATTCTTAAAATTCAGGTAGCACACTGGGCTACTTCAAAAATAGGTTGCCCCAAGTAAAATTTGGTTGCCCGGGGCAACTGGGCAACCAGGTATTTTGCATGCTGATACTGGTATCCTACTTTCAGTTTTCCAGCCACAACGCTAGAAACACATGCAGGGTTTGTTGAATGCCACAATGCCAGTTTTCTTCATGCCAACAAAAGTAAAAAGTCTAATTTTGTCGCTTGTTTTCTTCTCCCCAGATCGAGTATAAGGAGTTGAAGTCTGAAGACACCCAACAACTTTCCCCCAAGAAGAAAAAGACCAGCTGATGAGTCTTTAAGATGTCCGTTGAGAGCTTCTCTGCCAACTTGCACTGCTGCACGGTTTCCACGCCGCACAGTCGCTACACCATCGCTACACCATCGTTACATCAGTCGCTACATGCACCTGTATGTGGCTACACCAGTCGCTACACCAGATGCTACACCTGTCAATTCACCAGTTGTTACACCTGTATGTGGCTACACCAGTCGCAACACCGTCGTTACACCAGTCGCTACACCATTGTTACATCAGTCGCTACACCTGTATGTGGCTACACCAGTCACTACACCAGATGTTACACCTGTCAATTCACCAGTTGTTACACCTGTGGCAACACCAGTCGCTACATCTGTGGCTACACCATGCCAGTTGCTACACCTGTGTCACAAACTAACTGTTTCACTCCAGCTAAACACACCACTGACATCACACTGCCACTCTGGCTAAACACCTGATGGTGTTGGCCTGTACAATATTCATCTTGTAGCAGAGCATTCTTTTGGAAGAATGCCTGTTTTGTAACTGTTTTCTTTGTCTGACACATTTTGATGAAGGTTAGACATCCTGGTAATGAGATACACACAAGAAAACAGCTACTCAAACAACTCTTGCAACAGTTGCTTGTGTCACTGTTTTCTTGCGTTCTGCATCGAAACAAACTTTGCATGCCAAACCAGCATGTCTGTAGTCCAACTGCGTGCTAGACTGAGTTTTATCCATAGGCTAACTGCCTATACAAATGTATGTAGCACATTATGTAGCACATTATGTAGCACATATGTAGCACATTATGTAGCACATATGTAGCACATTATGTAGCACATTATGTAGCACATTATGTAGCACATATGTAGCACATTATGTAGCACATTATGTAGCCCATATGTAGCACATATGTAGCACATTATGTAGCACATATGTAGCCCATATGTAGCACATATGTAGCCCATATGTAGCACATATGTAGCACATATGTAGCACATATGTAGCACATATGTAGCCCACTAGTCTGTGTATTTGGCTTTACTGCAGTAAAAGTAACCCACTCTGTAAGTGCAGCAGTACAGGGTGGCCAGGATTGTTGCCGTTTGACATAAAATAGATAAAGTCTCTGTACAAACGACTTCTCAAATTTGTGAACTGTTTCAGAATTGATTATATTGACCAGACATGATTTTACGGCTAGGTTATATATTAAGTCTTACTATGAAAAAGCAATACGTGGCACCTATCACATAACCACAGTAACTGTGGACTGCATTGTTATAGTTAGTAGTGCAGCTATTTTGTAGGTAAGCTTGTTGTTGTCTGTGTCTAGATCTTATTTATTTTCAGTCCCGTTGAAGCATTTTGTGTGTAGGAAGATGAGAAGTATTTTAAGTGGTCTAAAAACGAAGGTTTGAGATTATTTGTGCCAGCTCTACTTCAAACACTTGCTCTATACACCATAAATTCCCACTTTAAACAACTGTACAATAACTGTACAGTAAGAATTTGAGCATTTGTATTAATAACGATTCAGTTCTCCTGCCACTAGTGTCCTCAGACCTGTTCTGCTGCTGCTTGTACCCCAAATAGCCTCTACCTCTTTCAGACGCTCGTTAATATGATAATTATTTTAAGCCTTATTTCTATATGGCAACCTGGAAATGCATCCTTTTATTTGCGATGATGCACATAGATAGACCTGTATTATGCAATGCAAAACATTTTATTTTAAAACTGTTTATTGTATGACTTACTAAGTTATTCATTTAAGTGTATAGAATTATTTTATTGTTAGATAGTAAGTGGCTGACGACAGTTGCAAACATATCTCTGTAGTCATTAATATGCAGCAGCTGTTGTTCAGCAAATTAGAAACTTGTCTGCAATAGTTTCATTATTTTTGTTACTTCATCCTGTAAAAATGACATGGCCACATCTCTACAATGCAAAAAATTTCTTCCAAAGACTTCCCGCGAAGTTTTCCAGCCTCTGACTGTAAATAAGTACCTCCTGGTGCGACCGGATGGTCGTTTCTCCGCCATCTCGTGTCCGTGTAAATAGAACGGGCTGGACGACAAATCTTCTGTACATTTTGACTGTTGCAAACTTTATGAAGGAAAAGCTGCATGAACAATGATTGATTAAAGCCAGTGGAGCTGTTTTTATTGTGACCTGATGTTTACATTCATGTACTACGTGGAAAAAATGGCCATGCTAAAGGGCTGCTGGCTCCTACTGACTTGGAATGTGTGTTACCCTAATCTCCAAGCAGATCCTAGGGTGGCAAAAGACTGTATCAAATTAGCCAGGCAGCATTCATTGCCCAGAGAGGGTCCATACATGTATGCCACACCTTTACAAGTTGCTCTCCCCCATACAAAAACACATATTATATTATACAACATCATATACAACATCAAAACTTACATGGTCAATAACAAGTAAAAAATACATAAATATAGAAGGTTTAGCATAATTCAAATATATCTAATAAGTAGTTATAATAATATATTGTGTTGATAAAATCTTGGGTACTGCCTGGCCAATTTGATACTGTCTTTTGCCACCCTAGCATCTGCTTGGAGATTATGTTACCCCACTGTTTTGGGTTTGGGAGAGGCACCGGCCAGATTTACATTTTCAAACTTGAGTGAAGGAAAAAGAGTGTAGCTTCCCTAACAGGCTGTACAACTGGGCCTCTTGGGGGATGCACTGTTTAATATTATAATGCGCTGTTTCTCTCTGGCATATCTCTTCTACTGGGTTCTTTTGTTGGCCCTTTGAGTGGATTTGCCACAAAGAAAAAAGCCTCCCCAAAACACCCAGTCGTAGAGACTTGTAAGTACGCCACTGATGATGGTCAGTTTTAACCGATAGGAATGTTTGATATATTATAGTTGTAGAAATTTTAATAAACTTGACTGTTATAAATGCAAAATGTCATGTTTCCAGAAGAGCCTTACCTAGTCCTGAGGTTCTGGACAGCCCTATATTGGAAGTTGACGTTTGTATCATAGTGAGGATTTCTCTCTTTAGAGGGAAACAATCCTCGAAAACTATCTTTCGACAGTGTTGGATAAACGGGACAGATTTTAAACGAGTGTCGTTTAACACCACTGTTTATAGAGTATTCGATCCATGAGGTTTCTAAAGCTACATGTTGAACCATGATGTCATTGCTCTTATATTGCTCCGTGGATTGTAGAACATTTACTACGAGAACCCGAGTTTTCTGTGTGTGTGTTTGTACTTGTCCTCGTCTGACCTTTGCATATGCAATAAATGTGATGAGATAATTAATGCCTTTCATATGCAAGAAATGAAATAAATTCTATCAGTTTCCAGTAACTTTGCCTGTGTCCCAAGTCTGCTTTATTTATAGTTATACTCAACATATACACATACGCACACACATACATACAAACCTGTCCTTGGTACTGAACACCTTCCACACATAGGCACATACACAACCACACACATACAAATGCTCTAGAATTACCACAGTTATCCATGTAGGATGTGGCGATCAAAGGAACCATAACTGACAAGAAATGAAATAAATTCTATCAGTTTCCACATACATACAAACCTGTCCTTGGTGCTGAACACCTTCCACCCACACACACTTAAGCACAACCACACACATGCAAATACACATATACACACACATAATCACACTGACACACACACAAATATACTAACCTGTCCTTGGTGCTGAACACCCTCCACACATAGGCACATACACGCACACATATGCACATACACAACCACACACAAATTCACATGCAACACACATACACACAGACCTGTCCTTGGTGCTGAACACCTTCCACCTACAGGCACAAACACACAAGCACATATACACAACACACACAAATACACAAGCAACACACACACAATCACACTGACACGCATATACAAATCTGTCCTTGGTGCTGAACACCTTCCACACAATCACACACATACACGCTTAAGCACATACACAACCACACACACTTACACATACAGGCCTTACACACAACACACATATATGTATACACAGACCTGTCCTTGGTGCTGAACACCTTCCACACACAGAAACAATCACACACATACATTTCCCCTGAAGCACTGCCACTATGTAACACAAAGAGAAAACACTCTGTTAAATGTATAACAGCCATGCATACATTGAGAACACATCTCACGTATTTGTTACAAATAAATGTTTATTACAAGGATAGTTGTCCATTTCATAACTTTCTCTGTACTCAAATCTACCAAAATTTACCCCGACTGCCTCTACAGGGAAGGTAGTACCCGATAGTCCCCTACCGAAATGATTAACACCAGTCTTACTAACATCTTTACTCCGTACCATTTTCTCTTTACATGTTCAGAAGCACTGGAAGAAGCTAGTAAGCTACTCTCCAAGCAGAGGTTTGGGTTAGGGGTTATTTTGAGCATGTTTTTAGACTTTTTTATCGGGGTTTCTTTTTTCGACTGGAATTTTTCTTTCCCCAACCCAACATCTGCCGGCAGTCGAAAGCATCAATGCGCTATAAACCTAATCACTTCAACACATCACATTCGTTCTGCAAGGAGGTGCGAACCAGACGCATGAATAGGCACAGTCAGCAGGAGGCGTGTGGTCCAATGAATGCCTTTCTGACTGGCTAGATGTGTGATAATCCACCACAGGAAAATGGATATCCCTAATGATAATTTGATGGTTCCTGGGGAGGAGCACTGTCACGTTTCCTGAATAGGTTTGCCCCGCCCCAGGGTGAGTGACGGCAGAGGTTGGGTTGGGTGAAACAAAAATTCCAGAGCAAAAAAGAAACCTGATAAAGAAGTCTAAAAACATGCTAAAAATAACCCAAACCTCTGCTTGGAGAGTACTAGTAAGCTACAACATAAAGTTACCGCTATTAAAACGTCCACATTAGAAAATACTGCAGTGTGGAACTAACAGCGATTCCCACTGCTGTAGAAAAAGGCACAATGGTTTAACGTCATATCATGACTCCAGTTACATTCTTCTGGGGATTTTAAGGGAACCAGTTCATCCTAGCACTCCATTGTTAGTGAATGGTCCCACCTTCTACTTACTAGTAATAATATTATCATTTTTTTTTTACTACCACAAATAATGCGGGTGCCTGTTACAAGTCTTGGGGCGAAGTCTGCAACATTATGGTTCCAACAGCAATGATCAACCTCAGGCCACGCCAATTTAATTTGTTGGTTCTCGGATTCCTCGGATTCTCGAAAGCTGTTTTAGCAGGAAGAAGGTTAAAGGAGCTACGTAGAGATTGAGATTCCCATCATTCTGTAGTAGCAGTAGTAGTAGTAGTTACATACAGGGCTGAAGTGTAGACTTGACAGGCAGGGTATTATAGGTAAGAAAGGGTTGATGCTGCCAAACTGAAGGTTGCAAACTGAAGGTAGCAAACGGAACGTAGCGAACACTGTCTGAAAATGAGTAAGTCCTGCTTCACTGTTTCCTGTCCTGCCGTTAAGGCCTGACCTTTGCCACACTGTGAGCTGCTGTATCATATCCAGAACTGTGCCTAGGTCTAGTTCTATGCCTGAATGGGTTTGGGTTAGGATCAGGCGCGGTTCTGGATAGTCTCTATTGTATCCAGAACTGTGCCTGTCTAGTTCTATGCCTGAATGGGTTAGGGCTAGGGTCAGGCGCGGTTCTGGATTCAGGAACATAGATTTGCCACAGGCACAGTTCTGGATACGCTTGGACTATCCAGAACTGTGCCTGAGCATAGTTCTGGATAAAGCATGGTTCTAGATAAAGCATGGTTCTGGATAAAGCATGGTTCTGGATAAAGCATGGTTCTGGATAAAGCATGGTTCTGGATAAAGCATGGTTCTGGATAAAGCACAGTTCTGGATACAACACTCTACATGTCTTTCAGCATTAACACTGGAATGTATCAGACATTGTTGCAGTGTCTGGATATACATACATGTAAGGCATGAAGTTAGTTGCAGTGAGGTACACCAAGTAGGACCATATCATATAAAGCTTGGTTCAAGCAACACCATTCTGAAAATATCTCAATCCAACAAAATGGGCAGTATATATTAAACAGTGTGTCCTATGATTTGTGAATTTTCATGATTCTATAACATTTTCCCAGCAAGTATCATGTAGGTCTTTCTCTTCAGTTTCAGAAGAAGGTTTAAAAGCAGCACATGTTATAAAGCCTCCTTCAAAAATGCTGCTAAAATGAATCTTTTTGAGCCAGCCTGCAGGGAAATTGAATTCTAAAATCTCTTTGAAGTAGCTTCCTCTTTACATCACCGAAGGTCTGATACTTTTTTTGCACATAATCACATGTAGGTCTGGTGGCTGGCATTTTCAAACTACATGATTTTTGCCAAATTTAACTTTCAAAGGGATATATTTAAATATTAGGCCACAGCAAGTAATTTTTATGGATCACATCAGCATGCACATTAATTTTCACCCTGATTTTTGTAAACTTAGCACATTAACGAGGTTGATGGTATCGAAATTCGAAAATGAAGGAATCCTGTTTTTTGTCCGCCTTGTTTTTTTTCTCCCTATCACATTAGATTTGGAGTCTATGGAGGATGTCATCCGTAAAATTTACTTGCTGTGGCCGTATGTGTGTATTGCAAAATTGTCCACCACTCCTACAAGACTGCATGTTGCACTAGACCAACAGAAATGCATTTTTTTAACACTGCACTTTGGATAAATATTATCACACTGCTGTATAAATTCCTTCCTGACAATTTACAAAAATTTTGTAAAAAAAAGTGTGTCGGACCAACGATTCTGTTTCACAGAAAAACTGAATGGCAACATAAAATGTCTCTAAGCTGCGCTGTTTGTTATTTAGAACTTCGATTTCTTCCAGTTTCAAGTCTAAAATATGCTGCCTTCTCGTGCATGTAGAATGTAACACATAGTCTTTTCAGTTCCACTGAAACATTGTACAAGCTGTTGCTCTCATGTTCACTGACTGCTGTTTTGGCAGGACGTTCCAAATGTCGGTGACCAAGATTCCAAGTCTTTCTGTCAATACTAGACAGATCATACAGTCTCCCTTCCAAAAATAGTTTCATCAGGTTGGTTTCATCAAGCATTGGATACAGGGGTTTTCTTCTGCCATTCAACCAATATTGTTTCTTATATTTTGTACCTTGCTTATGTTTCAGTGTCTTTCAGACGCCTTCCTCAGAGTTTCTGACTAGAGTTGGCAGTTTTGAACTCTAGTCAGAAGCTCTGAGGAAGGTGTCTGACAGATGCCGGAGCGTAAGTAAGGTACAAAATGTAAGGGACAATATTAACTGTGCAAAAAAAAAACCCTTGTATTCCATATCTCCTTGTTAACACCCCAAGCTTGCTGGTAAACACCCACGGTACATGTATGTAATTAGGGAAGTACTGGCATTACATACTGGTTTTCCCTTCTCATAGAGGGTAATTTTGAAATTCATAAAAGCAGGAAAGTACAAATATACAAAGTTATGGAAGCTAGTTCGGTGATCTGGCTATTTCCCCATATGTAAAACACTACACGTAGATGCCTCTATGCGGCTTCACCTTTTAGTATGGCAATTTTGCATAAATGTTCACTACTTACAAAAGGGTTAAATAATTACTTCTGAACGCCTCTTTTCTAACACCAGTAGAAATGACTAATCATAATGGACTTACAAGTCACTGTTTTCAAAAAGACACATAATATATAAAAATGATAACAAAGCATAACATGCATTTTTGTTAGAAACAGAATACTACAGACAATGTCTACATCTACACGTATACACAGTGCTATTCCCTTGCCCTGGCCATTGTTCAGAATACATGTACATCATAATAATATGTAGATAATAAACTTTGAAAGTTGTCAAGATGAGGACTCAATTGATATGGGATGAAACTGACACCATATTATTATGTCATGATTGTTAAAAGAAGGTACAACTTACAACATTGTATTTGGAAGGTAAAAAAAGTTGAGTGTAGGTTAGAGTTGAGAGGTCAGAGGCCAGAAGTCAGACCAGGACACTCCGAGAGGTTTCCAACTGTTGTAGAAGCCTCTTGAAGGAGGGCCTGGAGTCTGGGTTGATGTCCCAACACTGCTTCATCACACTGTAGATGTCCTCCGGGCAGCCTTCGGGAGGCTCCATTCTGTAACCTTTCTCCACATGTGCTACTACATCTGCTATGGGCTGGGGAGGGGAATAAGGGACATTTAGTCTGTACAGTGGCTTCCTACTGGGAGACATAGAGTGGGACGTCCTTATACTACACTTTTGTCCGTGCTAGAGAGAGACACTGGTCTCGCTGGGACTGCATTAATGTCCACTATGAGAGATAGGACATACTGGAGTAACTTTATCAAGTGTACCTCACCAGATTCATAATCCAGAGGCATGATGATGATGATAGTGACTGTGGCTCCACCCTATATATAACCTCCACATGTGCTACTACATCTGCTATCGGCTGAGGGGGGAATAAGGGACATTTAGATCCCGTTCATACCAGACTTTTAAAAACCGGTTTAAACCGCAAAATAATTAGCGGAGGATAACCCGGCTAAAACCCTTAGCGCTCATACCAGACTTTTCATAACCAGTATTGTAAAAATCCTGTCCGGTGAAAACTTAATCAGCCATGATTGCAGTTTGAATAACCGTTCCTCCCGCTCTTCCGATTGTTGTCCTTAACTATGCTGTCTTCAGGTTCTTTACCTTACTGCAGCACTGATCCTTTATCTTCGAGAAACCAATGATGTCCTTAGTGGAGAAACCAGGCTCATCCAACATTTCTGTTTGGGTAGAGCCCCCCCCCCCCCAGCTTTTTCGAATTCGGCGACACCTGCACTCTAAAAATAAGTATCAGGAGCGTCTCGTCCGCCGACCAGGTTGCGTATGCTGATTCCATCACGAAAAGGAGAGAAACCTTGGAAAAACAGTGCAAATGAACTCAAATTGGTCAAAACAACGCAATCAAAAAAGCTTGGAGGTCGCACACGGCCAGGATGCTGACCCCGTGACCCCGGAATTATGACGCAAAAACCGGTTCAATAAACCCTTAGCGTTCAGACACACCCTCAAAAACCCCTGAAAAACCACCTCCCGGGTTGGTTTTTGAAAATCGGATTTAAACCCCTAAAAACCGGTTGATTTGCGTTCACACTAGGTTAAATAAAAAACGGTTTTTGAAAAAACGGTTGAAACCGCTAAATATAAGTCTGGTATGAAAGGGCATTTAGTGTGACTCCACCCTATATATAACCCTTCCCTGCTATAGGCTAGGGTACTACACAAGAAAACAGTGACTCACCACTCTGGGGTATTACATGTACACAGTAAACTGTGACTCACCACTCTGGGGTATGGAGGTCTGCCGTAGGAGTAGAGCTCCCATAGCAAGATGCCAAAACTCCACACGTCTGATTTTGTAGAGAAATGCTGCACAGGAAAGAGCACAGTTTAAAAAAAAAATCATACTTTACATTGTGTGGACATCTTTTACTACTCTGGACAACAACCATCTGGCTACAAAGACCTGCAGTTCTATCTAAAATGTACTGGTGCTTGGAATAACGGCAGAATGCTCGACTTGGAACCAAGAGGTCCCAGGTTCCATTCCTGTCTTTCCTGTATTAATTTTGTTTCTATGTGTGGGACACAACACCAGCAACAGCAACAGCTGCCTGTGTTCCACGTGTATTGTGCTGTTGCAATTTTAATACATCAAATCAAATCAAAATCTATTTTACCATTATGGTATATATATATATATATATATATATATATATATATATATATATATATATATATATATATATATATATATA